TTTTTATTTCTTTTTTAAAAATAATTTTTTAAAAGTAAATGACAAGATATTAAAACTGAACTAGTCATTGAACTGGTTAAAACAATCAGTCAAAAGTCAATGGTTCAATTAGGAGTCAACCCAAAATCAAACAGGTATTAATTAAAATAATTTAATTTAATTTTTATATATAAATATTTATATTTGAATATGAAAAAAATGAATATTTAAATAAAAAATCATTATTTTTACTTAAATGACTTAACAAAAATTCAATAAAAATATAAAAAATTTATATAAGTTAGCACAAATCTAACCAAAATTCAGCAAAATCAGTAAAGGAAAAAGTTTTGCAAGAGATAGAAAACGTGCAAGGGAGGCTAAATTTATTTTGGCATGCGTGAGTTCAATGAAATAATAATGGTGATTGACATATGAGTACTTCACCGTACTTTCATTTCATTTTTCCTTTAATAAATTTAAATCATAGTTTTGTCCAAAAATAATTTAAATTTTGGCCATTGAATTTTTTTTTTTTTTTAGGAGGTAACATTACCGATGACTTGAAAGTTGAAACCTCCATTTTCTCAAGGCATCTTTTCAACTTTTTCCCTTTAAAACTCTCGATTGGCTTTTTGTCCATTTTTTTTATTCATTTCCTTTTTGTTTCTTATGTCAACCAATCAACCAATTTTTTTTTTTACACAGGTCAACCATTCCATAAATTTTGAATTATTAGAATTTTAAATTTATTCATTTCCTTTCTGCTTCTGTTGTCAACCATTGGATACTTGTTTATGTGTAGAAAATGTCATCTAAACAAACACGTTGTGGTGTTTTTGTTGTATTAATGACTTGTGGTGATGTCTTATTGTTCTACTTTATTTCTTATATGTATAGTTATACACATATAAATATTATTTTTTATTTAATTATTAGGTTACGATTCAATCACCAATCCAACCAGCTGAACTGTGAGACACATGACCTAGTTCACTATTTGGTTCGAGTTTTCAAACTAGGATGATATTGATGTTCAAAGACTTCTTGATCAGTTGGTGAAATATATGCATGAACACTGGTTATTTAAAACTCTATCAGGTCAGGTAAAAACTCTTAGAAAGTAAGAGATTATAGATATTTGAATTAGAAGGGCGATCTTTTTTTTTTTTCCAGAATTGGAAGGGCAAGGTAAAAATTTGAGATTATATACATATGCATATCAAACTTAATTAAATCAAGAAAAAATTTATTAAAAACGGCACAAATTTCATATAGATATGTCTTTTGAAAAAAACAAGTAAATATATCAAAAGGAAGATTTACATATTTCTAATAAGCAAATCAATTTTTAATTAGATCCGTAAATTTGTGAAAATTATTTCAAATTCCTTCTACCAGCACTTTTGACTTATGTTGACTAGTGACCAACATGTTGGTCAATCAAAGGCTCGTCAAGGAACATGATTATTTTAGGTAGTGATTAGATTTTATATTTCAAATTTGAAATTCAAAATCATTTATTTAAATAGTATAAAAAATTTTAAAAGAAAGGATCAAATTGATATTGAAAGTAACTAACTTGCTTGATGCTTATAATTTCAATTGACTAAAGACAAGTCACAAGAGCAAGAGATGAATGAAAAGACAAGAGTAACAAATGTCCAACAGTTAAAAAACACAAAGAGGATAGGAGGATTGAATTTTAAAATAATTAGGATACGAGAAAATTGTTAAATTATTAAGAAATTATAATAAAATAAGAATTTGGATATCAATCAAATTTAAATCCATGAATTTTTATATATCCAAATAAAAGATTTAGCTCAAATTTATAACTAAATCCCTATAAATCCAGACATTTAATGTTAAAAAATTTGATATTAGATATTACTATATTCATACTTGCATGTCAATATCCTAGACATACAAGCAAACCTAAAATTTACAAGTATTTATGAGTATACTTAGGTATTCTTCGTCCTTGTCAACTTGTAAATTTCAAAGTTTGCATTTAAAATTTGAGAGAAGAACTTGTAAATGTAAGAGATTTTTTTTTTGAGCAAATGTAAATATAAGAGATTGACTTTGTAATTCTGTATGTAAAACTTTACTAACCAATGTTAAAATTATGCAAATTCACTTATAAATCTTAAAAATTGATTTGTAAATAAATGAGATTGACTTCAACATCTTAGATTTTACATAATCTTAAATTTTGAAATTTAGCTTGTAAATTTTAGATAAGGCTTTGCATATCTAAGAGGTTAATTTGTAATTAAATATGTAATTACAGATTTACAAGTCAATTTATTTTATTTACAAGTCAATTTACATAACTTTTGCAGTGGTTATTGAAATTTTACCTATTGAATTACAAGTCAACCTCTTCAATTTACCAATTAACAGGGGGCAAAGAATACCTAATTAAGTCCACTTGTAAAACTAATTTTAACTTGACTTGTAAATCTAGACAATTAACATATACACATGGAGGCATTCATATTTAACTTAAAATATTTTTAAAAATAATTATTCTCTTTGATAGTTTGTTGACTGGTCAACGATTACCCATCACGGATCAAGGGCCATCGATCACCAATCATCATTAATCAAAAGTTGTGGGTCAAACTTCAAAGCATATATTTGTCATTTTATAAGAAAAATTTAATTTTAAAGTTTTTCAAAAATAATTATCCTCTTTGATAGTTTGTTGACTGAACAACAGTTGCCAGTCATTAATCAATGGTCACCGATCACCAGTCACCATTCAAACTTCAAGGGGTATATGTGTCACTTTGTAAGAAAAATTGTTTACAACTAAATTCCGGAAGACTTCAAGTATTTTTCATACATTCGTGAGACTTTATTTATAAATATGTCCTCAAGTAAAATATAGAGAGCAGCAGGCCTAACATCCCATTCTCTATCCCCATCCTTAATGCATAGCCTTACAGTTGCAAATGATCTAATTCTTTAAATTTCTTTTGACATGTTTCTCACGTTGACTAAACGACCCATTAATTCTGCTTATGTTTGTCCTCACTGCAAGGTTTCATCGTTGCACTAGCTTAGATTCCTTAATGTTATACTGACATCATGTTGTTAGTTTGACTAAATTTGTCTTAAAAAAGTTTTTCTTGACGATGGGATACGACTCCTTCTATGTGCTAAGTTTACTGGTCAGCAGGTGATACAGATGGTACGCCCCACCATTTTCTTTATTCCCCTCTTTCTTGCATATTCTTCCGTAGTAATTTCTTTAGATATTATAAGAAGAATTCTAATCATCTTGGTAATATGGAAGAGAGAAATCTAATCTTTTGTGATTACTGAAATATCTTCTCTTTCTTACAGTTATTTAAGATGGCACGCGTCATTATTAGATGCTACATTGTGGATGACATTAAAAAAAATAAATATAAGCATTTACAGTCACTAAAGATATCTTCTCTCTCTTGAAGTTGTTCTAGACTGTATGTGTCATTAGAGGCTATACTACAGATGTTACTAAGAGAGAAATAAAAATTTTTTGTGGTTAGTAAAGATATTTTCTCTCACTTAAAGTTGTTTAAGATGGCATGTGTCATTAGATGCTATACTATGGATAATACTAAAGATGAAAATCTAATCTTTTATAGTTATTAAATATATTTTCTCTCTTTTGAAGCTATTTGAAACATCACTTGTCATGAGATATTGCATTGTGAATAACACTAAAGGAAAAAAAAAAAAGTCTAATCTTTTGTAGTTATTAAAGATATCTTCTCTCTCTTAAATATTCAAGATGGCACATGTTGTTAGATGCAATACTATTGATGGTTACCATTGAATTATGTAAGTTTCTGTACTTTGTTTAAACTTTAGTTTGATGTTTTTTTCCTTGTAAATATTCTTTTATTATGAAAAGAAGAAATCTACTTATGAGATTGGCTGGTTTCCATTCAACTTATTATGTTTTCATATAAGTGAATTAATGTGTTAATTTGCTTGCTTATCAAACAGTTCATGACGAGTTCAATATTAAGATTTTTAATATTCCCTCCTCTAAGTGTAAAAGACTTTTACGAGTGGATTCTGGGTAATCAGTTTTAATTACAATGTATATTAACTCTGGCCCTTTCTATTAAAAAAAAAAGATTGGATTTCTTAAATTTATACCGTCATCCTTCTTAGGTTAACCAAGATGTAACAAAATTTATATTTTTCATTGACATGCTAATAAGGTTAACCTAGTGCCTCCATTACTCTACCACTCTTTATACTGCACAGGTTCAGTGTTGCAGAAGAACTAATTCTTTAAATGTATACGCTAACATTGCTTCTTAGATTGACTAAATCTTTAGAATGCAAAGTAGTAAACGCACCTATTACAATTTTCTTTCTCTAGATGCATTTTCTATTTTCTTTATTAAAATTTTTTTTGGTATACTAAACAATGTTATAGTAGTAAATCAAATGGTCTACTACTCTCTCTATCCCTAAATTTTACTGTACAATCCCACTATGTTTTTTTCTCCGAAAAGCATCGTGCACCTTGCGCATACAAGTGAGATGATGTTTTTCCTAATTTTTTTATTGGATGAGCCAAAAACTCCTTTCATTAGTTACCTCTTAACTTTTTTATTTTCTGCTAACCTAGCATGTTCGTGTGGCCCACGTGTAGTGATAGGTTTTTTTGTGCTGATTTACCCCTGAACCCTAAAGTCTTGTTAAAATAAAATTTAATAAATGTTGTTAAAATATTAAATATTTTAATATTAGATAATTTAAATACTATTACTTATGAACATTCGTTCAAAATTTATAAATTATTTTTTAAATATTAATAACTCAAACTATATATAAATTACTTGTAACTTGTGAGTAAAGATTTATAAATAATAATAACAATATTTGCAAATAAATTCGTGAGCCACCTGACAAGTTTGATTGAAAAACTAAGACTCACTTGGGAAAAAAAAAGAAAAAAAGAAAGCGGACTCGAGATCATAGCATGTTAGAATGCCGGCACAGGGATGGAAGAGAAAAATGGCAGTGCATTCATATTATTATTCATAAATATCGTCATGATTATTTATTACGCAGTCCACGTAATAAGACACACCAACATGATGCTAGGATTTTATTTGCAGCAGTCGAAACAAGTACTGGAATAAGAACACGATAATAGTGGCTGATGAGATCATCAAGCACATTGGTATTTATTGGCTTCTTGCCTATCGCAAGCGTTGAGAATCAAGCTGAGAGCGAGCTGAACGTCGACGTTGATGCCCAGAACGTTAGCTCTTATGGCGGCGCAAAGGCATATGGAGACCTCATGGTCAGCGAGCCCTTGGATGAGAGGGCAGCATTGGGATGCAGGTGGCTTACCAATTGTCGCGCCCACCGCACCGTTCAGCACATCGGTGCATGCCCCAAGTTTCAGTATGTCCATGGGACACGTGCCGGTTCCTGGTGAGGGGGGCATTGGGGTTGCACTGCCAGGAATGGAAAAGAAGAGAAGATTGAGGAGCAGGAAAAGAGCGAAGGCGGAGGAACAAGGTTGGAGGCCATTGATGAGGTGATCTGGAAGCCCTAGCAATGAGTGTGTAACTGGTGGAGCTTGGAAGAGATGAGAGGAATGGGAAGCCAAGGGTGGTTTATATAGTGGTGGATATGTATGTGGGTGAGGGACGTGAAGGGTCAGCGAAGGATGTAATGGCAAGCACATGCGTGAAGTAAATATTATTATTTTATGCGTTTTTCTATTTTCCTTTTTGAAAATACTTTTCCATATAGTAAATAATTAACAAGACATTGAAAACTGGACTGGTCATTGACTTGGTTGAGATAATGGATTAAGGGTTAGCAATTCAACCCAAAGTCAACTCAAAGCCAGACATGTCTTGATTAAAATAATACAATTCAATATATATATATATATATATAGATATATATTTGAATATTTGAATATGAAAAAAGCCAATGACTTTGTATTTTAGTGGCACGTAGGCTCCACCATAAGTGGGAAGCCACAGCTTCAATCTTGCTTGTAATCTCAAGCCATTGGTGCATGTCCCTTTAATTTGAAAAGATTATGAAAAAAAAATGAATATTTAAGTAAAAAAATCTTTAATTATCCTTAAATAACCCAAAAGTTCACTGAAGAGATAAAAATCTTACATAAGTTGGCACAATTTCAACAAAAATTCGGCAAATTCAGTAAAATAATATTGATGATAATTTACTATTTTTTTTCAACACTTATTTAGTATTCTTTAGGCAAAAGTTGAAAAATTGCAAGAGATAGAAAACGTGCAAGGGAGGCTAAATTTGTTTGGCAGGCATGAGTTTAATGAAACAATAATGGTGATTGACATATGAATACTGGACCGTACTATCATTTATTTTTTCTTTTAATAAATTTAAATCATAGTTTTGACCAGAAAAATTTTAAATCATAGCCATGGATTCTTTTTTTTAAAAAAAAAAAAAAGAGGGATAACATTGCCGTTGATATGAAGCCTCGCATTCTCTCATTATGAGGCATCTTTCTAGTTTCCCTCTAGAGCTCTCAATCAGCTTCTCCCCACGTATCCTTTTTATCCATTTCCTTTCCACTTTCTATGTCAACCCTTACATTTTTGTTCTTTTAGCCGGAATATCAACCGTTGAATCAAATTTTGAATGATTAGAATTTAATATTTCATAAAATTAATAAATTTACGAAAAAATTCAATATTAAAATTTAATAAATAAATTTAAAATGTAACAAATTTAATCTAAACTATAGTTCAAGATTTATGATTGTAATAAAAATATTTGAAAAATTATTTTTACAAAATATTAAATCCTAACCATTCAAAATTTGATCCAAAGGTTGAGATGAAAAGTGGAAAAAAAATGGAGAGAAAGAAATCGGAGAGACACCAAGTCCCTAAACCAATACTTTCAAGCAATTCTTTTATCCTTCATTTCAGATCTCATATGGGAAGCAGAAGGAAGGACAAAATGTTGCCATGGGAGCAATTCAGCCATGCAAGAAAGCTCATAGTATATAGCAAAATCGACGAGTGATGAGTTTCAATTTGTGGTCTGTCTTTTTTATTTTGACTATTCTCTACTTCGTTCTTTATCATCTTCATAAATCTTCACCTTCTTCTTCACTCTTCTTCCTTTTTAGTTTTCCTTTGCTATTTCAGTGTTCCTTCTTTTTTTTTTCACTGAGATATATTTTTTCTAGTCAATTTTCTTAACCTAGTAGAACCCGTCAACCTGTCAAAGTAGCCAAGTTATATTAGGTCAACACTAGGATGACCGGTCCAATTGGTTCAACTAAAAAATGGTTTAATTAAAATTCTAAACCGGCCACTTGACTGATTCATTGGTTTACCAGTTTGATTGATTAGATCAATCCAATTTTTCATAAAATAAGTAAATCAAATGGTCTACTGCTCTCTCTATCCCTCTCTTTATTGCACAATCCCACTATTGTAGAAGGCCTAATTACTTAAATGCATGTTGACATCTTGCTCAAATTGTTAACAAAACCTTGAATCTATTAGTAGAAGAGATAAAGATTGGTGGGCGCAATCTATCCCTCTCTTTAGGAATAAAATAATTAAAAATAAAAATTTAATGTATGAAAAAAATATTTGCATATCTTACAAGTTTTCTCTATGCGGCTTCATGTTTTGAAATTATTGAATGATCAACTTATTGTCAATACTATTAAATCATAGATTTTCTATTCGATTATGCAATTGATTTTTCATAAACTTCATAGTAGGAAAAGCTCTTTCTATAGTTATTATAGCAACGTGCAATATCATTGCTAGCTTTAATAAGTTTCTTACACTTAATCTCACATTCTCATGCCATTCACTTTGCCTCTCATCTCAAACTCTATTCTCTAACAAAGAGTCTCTCCATCTTTTTGTCTTTTGGTCTTTTTTAATTTTTCTATGCTTTAAAATTTCATATTTCATTTTTATTAGGGTTATTTATTATTTAGTTTGACTTTAGTTTTGTAAAATATTAAAAATGAAAATGAAAATTATATTCTTATAAAAATAATCTAAATTTAAATATAATAAATTTAAAATTAAAATCTATTAGGCTTAAGTGAAATATAAAAGACCCAAATATTTTTTGAACTCAAATACATTTTAGTTCTAGTCTAATGGGTTCAAAATTATAGGGACAATGGGGAAAATTTTTCAAAACTCTTACTTCTCCTTATAATTTCCCTAAATATGTATGGTCAATTTTTTTTAATCAGTCAATTGCTACACACCGAAGAGGAACCCATATATTTGTATGTTATTATTATATACAAATATTTTCATTTTAAAAGTTATATCTTCTTTAAGGTGTTTCATATTTCATATATATAATGACAATTTTAAATTTATTTTGTTATTTGTATTATAGTCTCTCCATTTAAAAATGTATGACATTTTTAATCAAATCTCACCCCTAATAAAGTAGTTACCTACTTTCAAATTAACCCTTTCTTTTCATATATATCCCTATTAAACACCCTACAATAAATACAAAGTCACTATCAATAGGGACAGTTTTGAGAAAAAGGCAATAATTACACCTCAAAAGACTACAAATGCCTTACATTTTTTAATATCCAACTTCTCAAAAAATACCTTACATTTTTTAACGGAGAGAGTATATATTAAACACCCACTTAAATGTTGAAAGAAAAGAAAAATCACACCACCATATTAATACTCCTTTTATTAAACAATGTAAGGTATTTTTAATCAAATCTCAATTTTAATAAAGTAGTTAATTATTTTTAAACTAACACTATCTTTTCATATTTACTCCTATTTAATAAGGTGTTTTACTTTAAAATAAATATAAAGTAAGTTAAGGCATGTTACTTTAAAATAAATATAAATTAGTTTATTTATTATGAAAAATATGTTAATTACACTTTAAAATTTTAAAAATATTTTACATTTTTTAATATTAAATTTTTTAAAAAATACATTATATTTTTTAACAACGAAAGTATAACACACAAAAATAAAAATACTCACAGACACGAGGAGGAGAGTGGAGGGAGAGAGGAAGTGGGAAGTGAGAGAGGGGTACTTTGTTTTTGAATTATGAGTACAAAACTTGATAGAGATCGAGTTCTATTATTCTACATTAAAAAAATTTGGATCTCAGTATGATTATGATATAAACTAAGTTTTAAATTTATAGCATCTGAGACAATATTTTTTTAAAGTGTAGCATGCAGGCAAATAAATTTTCTTTTTTCTTTTTAGTATTGGGAACAAATTTCCCAATAATGGTGATTGACATGAGTACTATACTGTCATTTCTTTTTTTTAATAAATTTAAATCCTAGTTTTGATCCCGAAAAAAAAAAATTATATCATCACTATTGATTTTTTTATTTTAGGAGATAACATTACTGTTGATATGAAACCTCTGATTTTCCTAATATGAGACATCTTTTCCGCTTCCCCCTCTAAAACCAATATTTTTCTATAGTTCTTCTATCCTTCATTTCAATCAAAAACAGAAGGAAGGAAAAATGTTGTCACGGGAGTGATTCAACCATGGGGTGTTGTGGTCATTTTCCTTAACCCAGTATGACCCATCAACCCTATGAGTTGATGGGTTCTACCAAGTCAACATTGGATTAATTGATCCAATTCAGTTCAATAAAATAACAGTTTAATTAAAATTTTGGACTGACCATTAGATTGATTTGTTAGTTTATTAGTTTGACTAGCCAATCTAGTCCCATGCAATAAGTAAATCAAATGATTTACTACTCTCTCTATCCCTCTCTTTGTTGCATAACCCCACTATTGTTGAAGGTCTAATTACTTAAATGTACGTTGACATGTTGCTTAGATTATTAATCAAAAGTAGAGAATATAAAGAGTGGTGGGCCCAATATATCCCTCTCTTTAGTGGGACCAAATTTTTTTAATTTTTTATTGATAAGAGTGTTCGGTTTCAGGTTAAAAATCACGGCAAAAATGTTTTTAATGGTTTTTAACATGAAAGTAAATATGCACTTTGGTTAACCAAATATTCTATTATTTTCTCTATTTCTCTCTTTATTACAAATACCACCGTTATAAATGATTTTACCCTTTAAATTTATATGGAAGAATTGCATCCATGGACCTCTTAAAAGAATTATTTACAGACAAGGACAACAACAAATCACCACACCATGTGGGGGAAAAAATGAGTCACTACTATCATTTTAACCACAAATAATTTTGCATTAGTTCTTGTCTATAAATAATTCTTTGAAATGTGATTCTCTCAATTTATATTTACATATAGTGTTCAAGTTGACAAAATTCCAACTCTTTAAACAAGGCAATCTATCAATTGAATTTTTTGGGCTTGTTAACTTGCGTGCTTTAGGACGTGCATGCTGTAGGGGAAAAAAATTCCTAATATACTACATGGTGGAAAGAGTTTGTCACATTACTACAAATTCAAACTCAATTTGTACCAAACTAATTTATAAACATGATAGATTAAAAAGAAATTGGCCTAACATTACGAGTGAAAATATATTAGATCAGACTAGGCTCGAGTCTATATGATAAGCCAAAAACCTGAGTTTGGCTTGAAACCTGTATAAGATTTTCTATAACTAATGGAGCTTGAAATAGATAGGAGGAATGGGAAGCCAAGGATGGTTTATGAAGTGGTGGATATGTGGGTGAGGGA